TTTGTTCTTGTGTTATGAGCTTTTTAAAATGCACACTTTATTCTTTGATATATATATATATATATATATATATATATATATATATATATATATATTCATGGAGGACAGCTAACGATGGTCTTGAAACTTTGAGAAAATAACTTTCTATAAAGTGCTTCGACATGGATATTTGTTCCGACAAAGTCAATAAAGTCTTAATTTTCTCTCACAGAGGTTTTGGTTTCATACCAATATCCAACTATAAAATTGTAATCTTTATTTCTTTTGAGACATTCATTCGATCAACCTTTTGCCTATTTTCTATTGACCTAACTGCACATTCTATGGTCTCACACGTGTTCGATTTATTCAGACTGTATGTAGATCATTTCTTTGCCTTTTGATACTCTCAGGACGTCCCTTTCTATTAACAAAATATGTGAAACCCTTCATTTTAAAAGGTTTTGAAACATTTGTTTTTGTAAGTAGTGATAGTTTGTCGTTGAGTGGGAAAAAGAATACAACAGGTGTATGCCATCATTTGTTTCGATTTTAGAAATAAAGACCTTACAATGAAATGTTGTTTTTTTGTTTAAATGTGTTTGAATTACTTTTGATACGCAATAAATGTAATTCAAATCAGCTTGATCAGTGCGAAAATGTAACTATTAGAAAGTACCCACTTTATATTGGAACATACATCTATGCTCTACAACGTGCTCTCTGAGCTTTACAATCTACATGTATTATAATCCCCAGAAAACCCTATAAAAATCAAAAATATTCTGGGCCATGTTCTCTCTGTTCCGAGCCCGATAGCAAAACTACGGGACCACTGATAAATAGGACAATAGGTTCTGAAGTTTTAATAGGCTCTTTTTCTGATCTTTTAAAAATCTAGGTCATCAATTTTCTACCAATGGCTCTATTTTAATGTCAATTTTTGGGTTATTTTGCTCCGTTTCACTGTTCTTGTTTCAGTTATAGTGACATATTTTAACGATTAATTCGAGGGTTTTTGTGTAGCTTCCATGAATGCTTTGGTGACTGGAAGACGCTATTTTGTGTTGTTCATACGCTTAACTGTACAGACACATTCGTATACATTGTACATTGTATTCCTTAGTTTTTTGTTGATCTGAAAATGTGTTGTCTGCTCCAGGTCATATTGAACGTATTTGTAGCGTATAGTGTTTTTAAAAAGGTGGGGGGGGGGGGGGGGAAGGAGTATTTTTTTCGATTGAACTTTGTAATTTCCCCTAAGCGTGCTGAAGGGAAAAATTAAATAGACACTGACCAAAAGCCGTTGCCTCATGGTCTTTGGCACAAACTCGGTGTTCTTGTACATAATAATGCATTCTCCAGGCAGCATAATGGATCGGAAAAACCACACATGAAGACACACAGTCGAGTGTACTTTTTTCCTTTGTGTTGACGGCGTTCCTTGGTATCGTTTGTTATTGTTTTGTTGTTTCCTTCCTTTTGTTTTGTTTTGTTTTGTTAATTACTTTGTCTTCTTTCCTTGGCCAGTGAGTAATGAGCATGTTTAAACAGAGCTAATGCGAAAAGTGTGGCAACAATTAATGAACAAATCTCTTGTCTTGGGCAAAATTCCAAATGAAATTTCCAACCACTGTACATTTGCTCGCTCGCTCTTCGTGAGTTTTAATAGAGGTTCGATGTTGGATTGTTAGTTGTGGGGGGTTAATTTTCAGAGCATCCGAGCAGAGAAAAGAAAGACGAACCATGATAGCCAGTATCTGCTTCAGATCTGGCACTTGATAATGATGATGATCTCATGTGGCATCAGCTTGATCAGGAAAAAGTGTGATAAACCCTTGTGCTGTTCAGAACGGACCGCCAGCATGAGTCTCTCGGTTGCTTTTGTAGTATAATATTTCTGCTCTTTGGCGTCACAAGTAAAAGACTTTAGATGTTTCCCAAGTAGGACAGGATATGTTTTCGAGAATTTTTGATTTCCTTTGGAATACTATGTACCAAATAGTCCGGATTTGCTGTAGCAGCCCACTCCTACATTCATTTTGCTTAAAAAGCAGCACTGGACAACATCAAAAGACACAGTAACTGACAGCATCAGTGAAATGATGAAATGGTATGGGTTTTGTTTTGTTGGGATTTTTTGTTTTTGTTTTAGTTAGAGTTGTTACGGCACTTGCAACACAATAGGTTATATAAATGCCAAAGATTAGAAGTGTTACAAGAGAGTATCAAACACAAAAAAGAAGGAGGGGAGATACGAATGATAGATGTTGGATAGGAAAGAAGGAACAAACCACACCAGAGCACCCGCCAACCACCCACGGTTGCTGTGGGTCTAACGCCACTATCGAGACTGTTACGTCATTTAAAAGGCGAGACTTCCATCTCCTAAAGGACCAAGCCAAATGGGAATTTTGTGTGAAGTGCATTTCCCAAGGACACAACGTCGGACCGAGTTGAGGCTCTAACCCTGGATCCCGCAACCTCACGATTTCGAGTCCAGTAGCCTAATCACTAGGCAAACAGCAACAGTGGGGAAACACAAATAGAAACAGCAGTAGATATAATTGCTGGCAACAGCAGCAGGGTCTCAAACAGAGTCGACAAAGTTATCAGCGTGATCAAAATTAAGGACCGTCAGCAGAACTGGTTCTCCAAACCCTCCTTCCCCTCCCTCCTCCTGTTCGTGTTTGTTATCTACGGAATGCTATTGTATATATCTACATGTTTTCCCCCACACTCTTCTGTTTTGTTTTTCTTACTGTCGTTTGTCACCGTCAGAATAATTGTTCTGAATAATTAAACCCTCCGCGGACTCCACGAACCTTGAAGGCCACCTCCCTGAAATAACAGATGTCCGTGTCTCCAGGAGCTACCATGTGAGCCGCGGCGTGCAGTAGAGGAAAACGTAGACAAATCACCTGCTCGGGGTCGTAGAACTCTATCTACAACAATAATGTGTACAAGATAAAACGTTTTAACATTGGTTTTGTGTATTATGGTTTAAGATGGAACATTTAGACCCCGAGCCTCGAAATCTACGTCGGTCTTGACCCAGTGGTAAGTTTTTCTTCCTGTCATTATACGGGATGTTTTTGCTTTGCTGGTGGACGTGCTGCAGAGAAAAAAATAATAAAGATAACATATCAGGATCTACCTGGAAAGATATTTACTGGACACAAAGATTGTAAAGTGAAGGGCGGAGCGGGGCTTTGGGAGGAAAAATAGGAAAAGTAAGAACGAATCACGCGGGGGTTGAAAACGAGAAGAGGGAACGGTAATATTATGATACGCATACTATTCTATGGGGGTTTTCAGCCCCATAAAAGGTCCAACGAAACCTGTATTCTAAGGTCCCAGGAGCGACAAAACATTTTTTTAGCACTTTTGATAAAGGGAAGGGATAAGCGAAGTGGACAGAAAGAGGTGATTTTTGTCACCTTTTTTGCGGGGGGAGGGGGGGGGGAGAACCAATTCTGCTGATAGTCTTTAATTTTGATCACCAGATTAAAGTAAATACTATTGTGTCTACTTCGAATAGAAACAAATAAATAACTGAATACATTATACTATACAGTATACATGTCAATGT